TGGAAGATTATGCTCATCATCCGTACGTGGTGATATTTGTGCATCGAGCTCTTCCGATGACGTGCTAGCTCCTTTGGCTGTATGATCCAGCAACAGTATGGCTTTTGCGCTTGGGTTACTTCGTAGCTGGCGGAGATTGTACAGCTATCTAATATACAGCCAATTTGGCGGAGTTGGCGTATGGCAGCTTCCAGGTCAGTAACCCTCTGGGATGGGATATTCTGGATGCCTTGAAGCTTCTGAGATGCTTTGGTCAGCAGGTACGTGGCAGCTTCTACTTCATGGGTAGTGACCTGGCACAGGGTCAGTTGAGTAACGGACTTGGTAAGGCGATGGACAGCAGCGTCTTTGACAGGAGTCTGACGATCCATACTGCAAGGTCAAATTGCACGCAAGGTATTCTGCAAGTGGAGGGCCGTTGGACGTTCAGTTCATCAATCGCAGTGCTGCAACCTTGTCGAGGAAAGACATGAGGACGTCTGGTGGAATTCATTTGGCCGATCGGTGTGTTGGTTAAAAGAAGGTCAAACGGCAACGGGCACCATGGCTTGATGTACTTTGACATCATCCTACGCTACCATAAAACACCCTACAGTAAGGAAAGGCCCCTTAAAAAGGTTAGCAAATTTTACCCCCCAATTGAACGACCTGGCGGAAGCCATAAGGCGTTGGACGGAAAAAAAAGCAAATTTTACCCCCCACCTCCTCCCTTCCCCTATTGTCACAAGCAAGCTTACCTCAGCATTAGCTACAATGGACAGCGGCCAACCATGGGTACCCCATGGTGACAAAAAACCTCTCAACCACGGTCTACCTGCAGGTCATCTGGAACGTGCAGTTTATCACAGTGTTTGTGCCGGCATGGATGATCCCTCCAGTATACCACAGCCTGCGCAGAGAAAGCATCAAAAACGCAAGTTCCGCCAGTGCTATTGGCGTCCAGTCGGTCCGCCCCACCTGGTTTGAAGACATTGCAGTGCCCAAGGATACCACGCCCCAACCCAACCAAGACCCTCAAGGGCAGCAGCCCCAGCCACTGCACGGACTGAAATTAGTTATTAAGGAAGAGGTGCTGCCGATGAAAGACCAACCGGAGTTCCCATCGCTTGAATTGCTGGCTGCCAGAGGCCTATTAGCACCGGACACGTGGAAGTGTAAACGAGCGCAGGTTAGCCTGAAGGCAACAATCGATGTCCCTATGCTGGGCACGATCATCGAGCAGAATGGGGATGGACTCCTTGATTTTTTTCCGTCCAACGCCTTCATGGCTTCCGCCAGGTCGTTCAACATGGGGATGGACTCCTTGAGGACTCCCACATGCCCGTAGGATGGCCACTGCACATAGATGGTGCCGTCAGACAATGTTGTATTCATCGAACATCGACCCAACATGTGAAAAACGTAAACCCAAGTACACCTCTCGTGTACCCAAATCAACGCTTTCATAAAAAAACACTACGTCAGACGCAAACACCTACTGTGGTTGCGGCTCCGCAGTTACTTTCTTCTCTGCAATGTCAAATAAAGGAACTTGTTCCACCCTGACTCCTAAGTGCACGTCAGACTCCTTCTTTTCTCTCCAGACGCCACACACAACGGAACAGGTCAACAAGATCCAAGGCAGGCACACGGCCACAAACCACAAGGGGAAGCAACAGGAAAAGTTCCAGGTGTGGCTACTGTTTCCAATGCCCTAGGTGACACTGCAGTTCAGTTCGCTTCGGAACACTTGACACCACTCCCTTGAGCCGATGTCTCAACTGGGAAACTCGATTCCAGGTTTCCAATACACAACCTTCCCTCAAAGGTTGTTGAAACAATTCCGAACTGCTATGATATACAAATCACCTAGTCATAAAACGTCAGAAACATTTCCAAAAGTTCTCAAGTCAAACTGGTTCTCGTCCAAACGCAAGTAACCAGCTAGCCGGTGTTACTAGTCTCTACCAAACGTCTAGACTAGTCACACGGCTATTCAAGAACGAAATGATTCATTCAAATTCCTTTACAAAATCCTCTTGCAATACAGAACAACATGGAACCTCATGTTGCATCTCCACAACAGTTCTTCACACAGAGATGTCTTCTCATAGCTCCAAACTACCGTGGGAAACCAAAATGTTCTGCTCGACTTCTCAGCTAATATCCAGTCATCAGTAGTCATAGCGCTAAAGTAGTTCGCTCACCACAATAACCAAACGTCAGCAATAAGTCACAAAGATAAAGATCATAATGCAGCTCTCCAGATCAGGTATCCGGAGGTTGAATAAGATACGTAGGCATTGTCCTCACAATGCCGAAGTATCTCACATACTCAAAAGATCTGCTTGACTTCTCAGCTAATGTCCAGTCATAAACAGTCATAGCGCTAAGGTAGTTCGCTCACCACAATAACCAAACGTCAGCAATAAGTCACAAAGATAAAGATCATAATGCAGCTCTCCAGATCAGGTATCCGGAGGTTGAATAAGATACGTAGGCATTGTCCTCACAATGCCGAAGTATCTCACATACTCAAAAGATCTGCTTGACTTCTCAGCTAATGTCCAGTCATAAACAGTCATAGCGCTAAGGTAGTTCGCTTACTGCAATAACCAAACGTCAGCTATAAGCCACAGATATAAAGATCACAAAGTAGATCTCTAGATCAAACATCCAGAGGTTGATCACTATACGTAGGCATTGTCCTCTCAATGCCGGAGTATCAGACTTCCAAATCAAATACCCAGAGGTCGAATACCATGCGTAGGCAGTGTCCTCACAATGCCTGAGTATGAGACTTCTAGATCACCTACCCAGATGTTGAATACTATACGTAGGCATTGTCCTCACAATGCCGGAGTATCTCACATACTCGCAAGAGGTAGTCAAAGGGCTTCATAAACATCTCAGATGTACGAAGCAACGTCAGGAATTGATACGGATATTCCAATATCATCTCCGAGATCGATGAAACCGCATCATCCTGACTCAACTGTCTAGCGAATGCTTCTGGAAGCATTCGTCCACTGTCTCAAAGCTAAATAAAGCTTCAATCTGTATTCAAAATAGCTTGAGCTCCGTGTAGATTCACTCAGACTCACAGGTCGATATCTCAAATCATCTCTTGCAGCTCCAAATACCACAAAGCAATCTCGAGACTACTTAAGTCTGATGCAGACATCTTCCCATAGTCCAACTTCACTACCGAAGGCTCAATGAAAGTCAGGTCGCACCAATGCCAAGTTGCACCCCACAAGGGTACAAACTTCCACACCCCCTTTCGACATGACATTCATTTCTCTCTATACATACTCAGATGCATATCCAGTATGAACTTCGCCATACCTTCAAGGTCAAATTCGTAGAATACGTCGTATTCACCAGGAGACTTCGATGCTCCAAGCACCTCAACGGAAAAATAAAGTCTAAACTCCTCTGAAACATTCGAAGTTTCCAAAAACATACAACTGTCTCTGAGAAATCACCTGATCCTCAAAGAAATAGACGGTTGTTCCTCCAACACTTCGCTCATCGTAAATAAACAGCCCATCCATATCCACAACCATCGTCAGCAATACTCCATAGACGTCTTCATGGGAACAGTTCCCATCTATCCTTAACCAGTCAACATCACCAGGTCAAAATCCATCGACTGACCAAAGAGACCATGGCGTCAATTCACGTTATTTAGTACAAGGAAAACCGTGGGCCTATAGCGCATGTTCATATATCCACATATCTGTAAACATCATACCCGTATACAAAGGGTGAATACCCTTAATACGCGATACGCACTGTCCTAACACGCCTGCCACAAGAAACCCCACTGCCACTGTGAGTTTGATGCGTTCATCAAACATTCACCTCCTCCAAAAAATTAAAACTTCTTCTCTTTCCAAAAATTTTTAACATGTCCAACAACATACAGCAATCTGAAGTTGAAAAACGGCTGATACCGAAGCTGGATCACTCGCACTTTTTCAACTGGTGCACTGGGGGAAATCGCAATTGGTTGCTGCCGTTCTGTCATCGGCTAGGGGTAGGCTATGAAACCCCGAATTTGGCCACATGCAGATGTGGGTGACAAGAAAAATTTTCATCTGTACGTCTTTCGACGTGCTCTCGGCGCGTCGCGTAGCAACACAGTGACAGCATGTCCTGATCTCTAGCTCGTAAAAAGCTGTAGATTCCGGCCACATTCCAGTCATTCGATGAATGAGGTAAATGATCTGAAGAGATCTATGAAGGTGTAAGAGGGCAAAACGCTCTGGCTCGAATGGGAGCAGCGTTTGCTGCAGTGCAGTCTGGGTTCTCACCTCAATTAATGGTACCTCGTCTGCCATTGCACGAGGTCTTGGCTCACAGAAATAAAAATATGGAATTTGGTGTTGTGCGGGTGGGATATGGGCGGGTGTCACCACACCACATCCAGAGCTGTGAGCGGAAAAGGACTTCGACACTCAAACAGTGAACAGTTGTGACATGTTCACACAGGTTTAAAAAGAACAATCAGGTTTGTTTCTGGCAAACAAAACCCCAATTGAAGGTTTGGTGTTCACACCAAAGAAATTCGTAACAAAAAACAGAACAGACGTGTTTCCACAAACTGTTGTTTTTTCATGAACTGCGCATTTCACATTTTGCCCACTATGTTTTTGTTTAACAAAAACATTTTTCCTTTGTCCAAATAAGGTTACGATCTTTGTTCCAAAGAGTAGCAACTTATTTAGTACAAGGAAAACCGTGGGCCTATAGCGCATGTTCTATATCCACATATCTATAAACATCATACCCGTATACAAAGGGTGAATACCCTTAATACGCGATACGCACTGTCCTAACACGCCTGCCACAAGAAACCCCACTGCCACTGTGAGTTTGATGCGTTCATCAAACATTCACCTCCTCCAAAAAATTAAAACTTCTTCTCTTTCCAAAAATTTTTAACATGTCCAACAACATACAGCAATCTGAAGTTGAAAAACGGCTGATACCGAAGCTGGATCACTCGCACTTTTTCAACTGGTGCACTGGGGGAAATCGCAATTGGTTGCTGCCGTTCTGTCCCCCACTGAGACACACAGCCCAAGAAGTTTCCCCACTGCCATCCAGTCACATGGCCCTTTCACCGCACCCAGACTAAGAAGAAAATCGTCTTTCAGTCGGCTTGGTGAATCCGCCAAATTGGAAAGAGAAGGTACCCTTGCAAACCATGACTTCAACAGCCGCTGCATTTCTGCGTTTGTGAAGTCATTCACCAATTCAGCTGCTACCATCGTGGCCCCGTGGCCCTTGATGTATGCTGACCTTCCAGCCTCGTTGTCAAGATACCAGCAGAACTGGGAGGACTGCATCTGCTGTCCCCATAACCATGCTGACACCACCACGGGAAGGACCTCCATCTCGTAAATGGGGGTTTTGGATTTGGATAACCAAACGCCCATAAGTTCGGCAGAGACTTCGCCTCCAAAGAAAGAAACTATACTGCCACTCGGGTTGATTAGCACCCCGCCAATGCCACCTGTCTTCAAGCCCTCTTGTCCTTCGCAGGCCCCATCTGTGAAAATGACCCACGACTGTAAACATGAAGGGCTTATGGCAAGTGGTGGCGCAATCAAGACCCTTTCGCATAGGAACTGCAAGGCTGAAACATCTTTTGCAGAAAGCTCCACCCGCCTTTTGCCACTCAAAGCAGGGTCACCCAGCGCTTTAACAGGGCTGTTTGCAACCCTTCCAAAAGCAAATGACTTGAACCAGTGAAGTCGTCCACGCAAGGATTCTGCCTGTTTGGTGTTGATGGCCTTCTCTTTGAGAATCCCGTTCAAGACCGAACTGAGTTCCTCCTTCCTATCTTGGGTGTGGCCCATGGGGATCACTCCAGAACCAAAACACTGAAGATCTATTTCCACTCCCAGGCTTTTAAACTTCTTTGCAGACTTTCCAGCTTTGTCGCCTTCTTTAGCGAAATCAACACCCAGCAGATCAAACAGCGTCTCCACCGTCTTGGACGTGTTGGAGTTCAGGGAGTCCCTAGAGAAAACTGTCTAATCGCCAAAGAAGGCCGTCCATACCAGCTTGAAATGGATAGGCCCAAAAACCCTATTGCTAAACTAACACGCAGGAAACCACCAACCGAACCAGAAGCTCCAAACGGCAAGCTGTTAACGCCAAATAACGACACCTGCCCACTATCAGATTTCCTGACCTCCAGCCTGATGACCTCTCTGTCTTGGGAGGAGATACCGTACTGCTTATACGCATGTTTCAAGTCAAAAATGCGGCCAGAAACGCCCTCAACGCTGTGGCCACTCTGCATGTAATCAACCATGTAAGCAAGGAAGGCCGCACATTCATCCATGGCATGAACCCTGTACTTTTCCACCGACCCAACTGCAGCATTTATGCCCCCCTTGGAGCAGTCGTCAATGACTCTGAGTTTGCCTGCTCGTTGAACAAGCCCAAACCTTTTTGCAGGGAGAAAAATCATGGGATCAGCATCCTCGTCGGGCCAGATGTAGCCAAGGTTCACCTCCTCCATTGTTTTACCCAAGTGGCTCTCACCAGCTCTTCATCATTACGATCGTCCACCAGCTGGTGAAGAATGGCCCTGATGAGTCCCCGTGCCATCATTCTCAGGGTTGCCAAAGAAAACTGAGGTTTCTTTACACACTGCGGAAAACACCAGTTTTATTTTGCCAACCTGTAATGCTGAAGCCTTCCGATAGGTCTGAAATCAGTGGCTTGTCCGGGTAGTCAAAAGACTCCAACATTTCTTTGAAGAGGAGGAGTCTCTTCGTTTTCATCAGTGATTGCATGTGCGGTGGGAGACCACATTTTATAGCCCGTTCTGCAGAGTCAAGCGGCTCCCTAGGTATTCCAAATTGCGACACCATAGCTTCACCAACATCGCTGATACTTTCTGCCGAAGCATGCCAAATTGGTTCATCAACCCGTAAATCGCCCCTCTTAGCCAATCGTTGGTGGATCAGTTTGGCTCCTTCTGGTACCATACCTGTAGGGCATTCGATCGTGCTCGCATGCACGCTGCATAGTAAGACCCATGTTCAGACACCAGTGGTTTGTACCGCTTGCCTCTAGGCAAGGCCGACATAACAACTCGATGAAAAACTGTTCCTTCAACCTGAAGCTGTTGTTCCAAGCTGTCAATGTCCATTGCATCCAGTTGTAAAAAATTTCGCCCGATCAATTTCAGCCATTCTCGTACACAGCAATGTGGGATAGGCCGCTTCTTCAGCGGTTTGGGTAGACTACTCTGCCATTGACCACCTGTGGCTGCCAGTTTTTGTGTTTATGTATATGTTCACCAGGGCAATATGCCGCCAACGGCAATAGCCATGGTGAGGAGCCCCAGAACCTAGGGGTTTTCTTCCTTGCACCACCATGGCAACAGCTGTCGAAAATACAAGCGTACTCCCCAAAGTCCAAGAGCAGTTGTGCAATACAAGGGACAAGCCAGGCCAGGCTATTTGTTGGATTCTCAATGGTGACAAAAAACGCCCCAGCTGATAAGTAGTCTGGCGAGTTGTGCTGTAACTTCATATACCTGCTTGGCAGCTTGGGTTCTTACCAAATCATTCCAAAAAGATGCGGTAACCCTAACGGTTTGGCTTTTCCCTGGCTTTTGATGCTGTTCCGCAAGCTGGGGCAAAATGCACCCAGCCCAGGTTTTGTACTTCTGCTTGTAAAAACTGCTCCAGCATATTCAAATCCTCAGGGTTTGTAACATCACACACAAAATCTTTGTGCCAAGTGATCTGTTAGTGGTTTTGTCGACTGCAACGCTACGGCAACCCATATGCCTGCATGCTTTTGTAAGCCGAGCCGATCTAGCAAAATTTCTACCATTAACACATCACAAATGGACTTTCCTTCCAGTCTGCTATTGGGGCCTGGAGGTCCCGTTTCCGTTTGCGAAACCACTTGCTTTTCAGAAAACGTACTTTTCTTTGGCCCCTGCAAGGTTGACACTGTCAAGGTTTGCATCTTGCGCTTTGCGACAAGGTTTTGCGGTGCGCGGTGTCATCTTCTTTTTTGAAACTGCACTGAAGGCTCGGACTGTGAAAACTGTGCTGGACCCTCTGTCAACTTTCAGGCGTTGGAGCGGCACGTTGACACTCTATGATTGTTACTCAGGCATTTCATGCAAATGTGTGCTCCCTTTTTTGCAACGCCCACTCTGCACACTTCCTTGCATCCCGATTTCATATTGTAAGCCCAGCAAGTGGGCTTCCCTTGATCGTCCACCTGCTTAAAGTCTTTAATCTCGTGGGACAGAGTGCTTTGGCACGCTGGCTCTGCTTCCCCTCTTTGCGTACTTTTCCTTGTGCTTTCGCACCATTCTTGCCACCACTGTTGGCGGCTGCAGCACCAGAGGGTGAAGGCGCTGATTTCACAGTGGCGTGAACCGGCACAGGTATAGAAACATCCAGCTTGCTCTTTGCATACCCGTCTGGCGCAGGTTTTGACAGCAAACCCAGCAAATACTGCACCCATCTTTGATGCAGGCCCCATTCAACCAATCGGCATCGATCTAAGGCATCCCCCCGGCGCTGAAAACACCATCGAAGCTGTAGCTCCGTATTGTTGTCAGCTTTCAGCGCGGCTTCAGCCGCTGTAACTTTTACAGTCTGTTGTTCAATGGGCAGCACCTGAGACTTCTCCTTCGTAGCAGCCACCTGTTTTTCTGATTCCCTTTTTGGTACATTTCGATGGCCCAATCCAAATGATTGGGTTTGACTCCAACATCGGCGCCGCCAAGTCGATCCGTGAGTGACTAGGTTGTAACTTCCCAGCAATGTGCAAACCGCTTAGCCGAGCCTGCTGTTGCTGAAGCCTGGCTTGCTTCTTTGCTGCTGGTAGCTTCCTGCTTCCTTCGACGTTGGTGTCAAGGATGACCTGTTGCTTTGTGTGGGCCACATTCAACGTACACGCCTCAAAAAGGTAGACGTCTGACCCTTGAGACCTCCGACATGGTCATATCTGTGCCACCGTTCAGCTGAATGCGGAACCCATCAAAGTCTGCTGGTGCCGCTGGCGCTTGGGGAGTTCCAACTGCAAACCCCAGGTCACTGAATGTCCTCAACCGCTTTGTGACCATAATGCCTTTGAGCCATCCTGACGGATCAATCTTATCACAGTGCACCTGAAAAGCTGCTTGAGAATCCACCAGCGCCATGGGTGCGACACTTCGGAGTGAAGCGGCCTAGAAACAGTACATGACTAAAATTCTTGGCAACCCTCCATATATGACTCATGCGCATGCTTGGCTAGTTCATGACAAACTGCACATGACATGTTGAGCTCTGAGCCATGTCTGCAATGGTCCATTCATTGTCGAACCCTCCATTGCAGTACCGCTCTGAATGATTTGCAAAATATCCAAAGAAAACAACTGGGTGAGTTTTCCATGTATGTTTTGTCACAGCCATGCCCTACTACTAGTAGTTCCGCACAGCTGCCAACATTTACGCTCTGTCACAATGCGGCATGTTGCCACACTCCAGCGTTATCCCTTCACTGCAGCGAGGTTTTCTGAAACAAGGCGTGCATTTGATGACATCAAAAAGATGATCAATGCCTTCCTTCTTGTATCGGTCCGTGGTCTTTCGGCCACATGAAAACACCCGTATGTTCCCTTTGGGAGCAAGATGCACTGTGCGCAATTTGGAATGTTTCCAGACGTCCATGTCATCGAGTATTAGTAGATCCCGGTTGGGCACCTTTGGCATGACAACCGACTCCTCGTCACTGCTACTCTCACTGCAGGTCGTGGCATAATCAGACAGCAAGTCATGGTTTCACCAGCAATCTCACTGCCCTCAATTCTGCCAGCGTTTTCGGTTTCCACCTCTGTTGCAAAAGGTAAGCATGTGTTTTGCACATCCCCAACCTCTTTGTCCAGCACCTGGATGAACCGCCCACTCCTTGTCTCATCAGGACGGAAACGCCCTCCTCTGATCGCAGCCAAGCATTCCCCCAAAACACAAAGAGGCCTGGATGCTGCATCCCTGCTGTATCTAAGCGCCATTCTGACTTGGTCTGCGTGATAACCTGACGCCAACCGATCCTCAAACGAGCATCCAAACTTTGCCCAAAACGACAACCAGGTCGCCTTGAAAGAATGTGAAGTGTAGTTACTCTGTGCCTGCAAAGTTGTCTTTGATGCATACTGTATGAGAATCACCTTCAACCACCTGCCCGCCTCTGCAGTAGAAAGTGGTCTGACAGATGCCACCCCTCCCTCATCTGGAGCTGGCATCAATGTAAAACAACCCAAGTCCTCGATATCCAAAATCTGCACGAGCCCTTAGCCAGCATGCGGCCCAGCAGTCTTCTGTGGTTCCAATGCCTGGCGCAGTCAAACGAAGAAAAGAGTGACGCATGTTGAGTGCACGGCATGTTTTGTATACTGCTGTACAACACTCCACAAAGCAAATGTTGCCATCTGTATCCATGTCCCATTCCAAAAACTGAGAATGTTTGGCGTCCGACCACCTTGCCCTGCCAAAATTTGCAGAAAAGCACCATGCCACAGAACGCAACATTCCATGGGTCTGATTCCGACTGGACAGCTGAGTGCACTAGCCTGAGGTGCTCCACGGTCAGCGTTGGTGCCTGTTTGATGGTTGCCCCCTCCTTTGAACTGGCAGCTCCCATGCACCTCCTATTTTTAATAGCAAGGTCCAAACTCTCGCAACCAAAACATGCCTGACAAAAACAATTGCTTCCATAAGTGAATTCAAACGTGAAGATGGGGCCCCGGCATCCCTTTTGTCGGCAAAGGTGGTCATGGAGCTCCGTTTCACTGCATGGAAAGTTCAGCTGGTGTGCATGAAGGTCATTCACAAACCTTCCAATGCTATTGCAACGTTTCAACAGAGTACCTGGCGCCTTATGATGAAAATTGTCAACCAAAATCTGACACTGTCCTCTGAAGTCAGGTTTGCTGTGCACAATCTGTATGAAACAATCATCACCTTTCCATGTCACTGCACTGCTGTGCCACGGACGTATGGCCACCTCCCACATGCTGTCTCGGTGCTCCCTCCACGACTGGACTGAACTCTTGAAACGACGTCCATGTGTGTCGCAACCCTCAATCTTTTACTTGGCATGCTTGAACCCTCTGTAGTATCATCCAATTGTGTTGCAACTGGTGGCTCGTCAACAACAGTAGGTCTGTGCAATAAAAGCTGTTTCACAACTGAGCTCTCAGCACCACCGCTGTGGTCGTCAAAAATTTCCGCCCAAAACCGCTCTCCCAAAAGAACTCAACAGGTTTCTGTTCAAGTTGCATCCATGATTTGTCCAAAACCTGTGACCTGTCATATGACTTAGAATCAACACGGGATTCAGCACCAAAACCATCTACGAAGCAAGGAGAGTAACCCTCTGAAGGTTCAGGCAAAATCCATCCGTGTGATCATGCAGCATATCGGGTGTAAGGTCCAAGGCCGCTTCCAATGGACCGGAAGATCCTGTTTGCCAACGCCAGCGTCATCGCTCACAGGGGTGTCCCTCGACGGAGCTGAATATTGTTGTGCACCCCAACCAGCAACCATTGATCGCCAAAAGAGTTGTCCATAAAAGCAAACAGGTCTAACCCCTATACCCCCATTGCTGTCACCACACCACATCCAGAGCTGTGAGCGGAAAAGGACTTCGACACTCAAACAGTGAACAGTTGTGACATGTTCACACAGGTTTAAAAAGAACAATCAGGTTTGTTTCTGGCAAACAAAACCCCAATTGAAGGTTTGGTGTTCACACCAAAGAAATTCGTAACAAAAAACAGAACAGACGTGTTTCCACAAACTGTTGTTTTTCATGAACTGCGCATTTCACATTTTGCCCACTATGTTTTTGTTTAACAAAAACATTTTTCCTTTGTCCAAATAAGGTTACGATCTTTGTTCCAAAGAGTAGCAACATCAACTACAGTGCTGTTTGTTATTCCCTAAAACAAACGAAAACAAAACAACACACACACACGAGATCCAAGACGAAGACAGACGAAGCACTGTCGGAGTCAACACAAAAACAAAGGCCGACTGTTTCAGCTAATCCACGTCCTCCATTGGAAGATAGGCGTGTCAGACAAGCGAAACTGTCATCAGTTCAAAATACTCAGACAAAACTCCACATTCGTGGTGTCACTAGTCTTGAACGTGATTACATTGTTGTACCACGCAAACTCAGCTTCAGACAAGCTAGGTGCTAGGCGCGCTAAGCTCAGGACATATTAAAAGGAAAAACACACGTCTCCCCCTTTCGAGGTAAAGTCCATCAATCCCCAAAACATCACAAAAAATTGAACTCTGATCAGCATAAAAGCTGATTTATCGCAGAGCCAAACCAAGAAAACTACCAAAACAAACTTACAAACATATATATTAACAATGTCAGGGATGTCCAATCCACTGACATCAAAGGCGAAGCAACCACTAAAACGCTCAGATCAAACACAAGATCTTACATGGGTTTCCATCAGACATTTAGCCTGGATCCTCATTGATTCTTCTTTCATTCAAGAATCGGATCTGGCCATGTCATCATCTGGAAAAATGGCGGCAGACAAAAACACAGAATTAAAGACAAGCCACCATCGACATCGAAGCAACCACGATGCACAAGCTCACAACAAGTTCACACACATGTCCATGGACAGCACAGACATGAAACCTATCCTACCAAGAGCTGATCCTTCCAGGATACAACTCAACTCCACAATGCAAGCTTCTCGCCCCCTTTCAAGATCTGCTTCCCTTCTCCCCCTTTTTGCAGCGCAAAAGGATCCAGAGTGATCATAGCGAACACGTGCAAACTAGAGTGAACCTCGAGCTGGCCAGCGGTTGACAAACCAATTACCAACTATTCTCTCTATTGCACAAACTGCCAGGAATTGACAAGATATACAGACCCTGGACTCCATCCAAAGAACAGGAAACGGATCCCTTTCACAGCACTCAATAGAGGACCTCTGAGAATGCTCCAGCCATTCTTGTCCTTCTAATAGATACGGCGGTACTGCTGCTTGCCGTCTCTCAGCATGCCGAGTCCATTCGGGGCCCACAGGGCCGTAATGGCTGAAACCTGGTCGCCACGATAAGGAGTGGGTGAAAGCGTTCGTAAAACGCCACTGCCTGGGTCCCTCGTGACTATCCCAGTTCCCTGACTGGGAGTGGAAATACCCATCGGGGCAGCGGGACGCTGTCCACCTGGACGTTCTGGGCAATAAGCCATGAACAAAGAATCCGGTAACGTTGGCGGCGGGGGCAGCCCCGCACCTACTCCCGTAGGCATTGGATGTCCACTGGCAGGTGCTGCAGGCAATGGATGTCCACTGGCAGGTGCTGCAGGCATTGGGTATCCACTGGCAGGTGCTGCAGGCATTCCCATAGATGGTGGAGTGCCTCCAGGTAACCCCGCCCCGGGCACGGCAGCTGTCTCTGTCGGCCCAACCATGCCAGGAGGATTGACAGGTGGGTTCGGTGGAAAGAATCCACCCATCTCCACCCTCTCAGGCGTCTCAGGTGTGTCCATATGGATCCCTTTCGGTGTCCCCATCACACGGACAAGCTCCTTGAGGTGTCGGCTGACTTCCTCAAAACCGCCCTGAAGACACTGTTCAAGCCTTTCACCCTGAGTCTTGATCTCTTCCCGAACAGCTTTGACATTGTTCTCGATCGTCTCATTCCCCGACAGGGCCCACTTCCCAGCATGGGAGAATTTGTCGAATGCTTTCAACAATTTCACAATCTCGGCACTCTGGTGTGACACCGCTCCCGTCACGGCAGTAGTACCATATGACTGGGCCTTCAACTGCTCTCGAAGCTCACCGAATCCTTTCGAGAGCTCTTTGCGGGCGTCACTAACATTGTCCACAGCCAGACCCAAGTCCTCTGTCAAGGTGGTGAGCTTGGAAGCGCAGTCACCGATGTTCTTTGCCAAAGCATTACTTACCATCAAGACTGACTTCTCAGCTTCTTCCGGCAATGCCTCCACTGGTGGTATCTCTGCTCCTGGACCACCATCCGCATTCAAACCTGGGCTTCCATGGGCTTCGGTCGCGGTACGGCCACGCGACCGTGACCGCCCACGGTGCTCATCACCTTCTTCCCCATGAGCTCCATTGCCATGGGCACGGGCATCTCCATCGGCCGACATTCCTAGCAGTACCCGTTCGAGACGATTGCGCAGAGCTGACACTACCCTGTTCGACAGGCCCGGCTGGTGATAGAGCCGCATGCCCTACAGTCCCCAGGTCTCAAACAGAAAACCATCAAAGCAATCAAACAACCAACCAACATGAGGTGCATGCTCAACAATACAAATAACCAACAAGACTGTTTCCCAAAATTCCAGATGCTACCATTATGACAAGCAATTGTAGAGAAAGTGCAAATCCCCAGAATGCAACAACATTGCACCTGCAAAATGCAGCTGCGAAAGGGTCTTTGGGAATACCTTTTAAGAAATGCACCTGCTTGAATAGAATGAACACATATGCATATTCATTTGCCAATACATATGTATATGTATACATGTAAATGTGTAAATATGTATGTGTATATATATATATGTATATATATAAGTATATATATATAAGTATATAGATATATATTATATTATAATAAATTATATTATATTATATTATATTATACTATTTCATATTATAATATATTATATTAAATAATACTATATTATATTATATTATATTATACTATATTATAATATAATATATTAAATTAATTTATATTATATTATTTTATATTAAATAATATTATATTATATTATATTATATTAAATAATATTATATTATATAATATAATATTATATTATATTAAATAATATTATTTTATATTATATTAAGCAATATTATGTTTTATAATATTATTATATAATACAATATTAAATTATATTATGTTATATTATATAATATTATATTATATTACATTACATTACATTACATTATATTGTATATATGTGCATATATGTCAATAGTGATAAAGACATATGTTATATTATATATATATGTGTGTGCGTTGTACTTTCCTTATAATTTAGAGGTATATATATGTGCATATATATGTCATTATTATATTATATTATATTACATTATATTATATACAGTATATGTGCATATATGTCATATAAGGGTTCTTCACGTGACCGTGAGCCCGAGGCTATGGGGATGATTGATTGACCCAATTTTGTCTACTTTCGATTGCAGGCTTGCAGCAGCTGCATTGCAGCTGCATTTTTTAATTGGCTTGGTTTGATGGTGCGTTGCAGGTGCATTTTGCAGGTGCATTTTTGAAACTTTTTTGGGAGACATCCAAATGAACAATCTTTATGGAAAAGCCCTTAAGATCAGGTTCCAAGTGGAGTGCAGCTGCATTGCAGCTGCATTTTTAGCTGGTAACTTGCAATTTTTTGAGTTTCCAAAGGATCTTCCAAAAATGCAGCTGCAATGCAGCTGCAATGCAATTTACCTGCATTTTTGCATAAAATCAATGATTTTTAGCAAAAACACCTTTAAAATCCAATGCAGCTGCATTACAGCTGCATTTTTAGCTGGTAATTTGCAATTTTTTGAGTTTCCAAGGGGTCTTCCAAAAATGCAGCTGCAATGCAGCTGCCATGCAGCTGCAATCCAATTTACCTGCATTTTTGCATAAAATCAATGGTTTTAGCAAAAGCACCTTTAAAATCCAGCCCCAAGTGGAATGCAGCTGCATTGCAGCTGCATTGCAGCTGCATTTTTAGCTGGTAATTTGCATTTTTTTGAGTTTCCAAGGGGTCTTCCAAAAATGCAGCTGCAATGCAGCTGCAATGCAGCTGCAATCTAGTTTACCTACATTTTTGCATAAAATCAATGATTTTAGCAAAAGCACCTTTAAAATCCAGCCCCAAGCACCTTTAAAATCCAGCCCCAAGTGGAATGCAGCTGCATTTTAGCTGGTAATTTGCAATTTTTTGAGTTTCCAAGGGGTCTTCCAAAAATGCAGCTGCAATGCAGCTGCAATCCAATTTACCTGCATTTTTGCATAAAATCAATGGTTTTAGCAAAAGCACCTTTAAAATCCAGCCCCAAGTGGAATGCAGCTGCATTGCAGCTGCATTGCAGCTGCATTTTTAGCTGGTAATTTGCATTTTTTTGAGTTTCCAAGGGGTCTTCCAAAAATGCAGCTGCAATGCAGCTGCAATGCAGCTGCAATCCAGTTTACCTGCATTTTTGCATAAAATCAATGATTTTAGCAAAAGCACCTTTAAAATCCAGCCCCAAGTGGAATGCAGCTGCATTTTAGCTGGTAATTTGCAATTTTTTGAGTTTCCAAAGGATCTTCCAAAAATGCAGCTGCAATGCAATTTACTTGCATTTTTGCATAAAATCAATGATTTTTAGCAAAACACCTTGGAAATCGAGCCCC